AATTTACTATGTAACTAGCATGTAGTTAATTGCATTGCTGCACTTTGAGCCAATTTAAAGATCACCATTCCCTGGCAGGTGGTTGGGTAGGTTAATATGTCAATGTAATTTATGGTACTGGCATACTCTTAGCCATGGGTGTATACTTGCACCCGCTTGAGTGTGCATATAACCAGTAGTAAGCACGTCTCTCAAGAGTAGGTGCTGATTGCTAGATATTTTAAAGTGACCTCCAAATGACCACTTCTCTGTCAAATTGGAAGCTTTCTATGATTTATTGTATTATCGGAACACCACAGCTTTTAAACATGGAAAAAGCCCAAGACAAATCAAACTCTGTTGGAATGTCAGCCTATGATGGCTTGTGGATAATTTAGAACTAAATTTGGCATATAACAAAGATTTGAGAATTTAGAGGGAACAGATTTTTTTTTATCAGGGTGTGTAAAACCATTCAAAGGCATGATAAAATCCACATGCATTTGTCCAGGTCATACATTTTCTAAGCCAAAGGGAAAACCACCCCCACAGTGGAAGTTGTCTGCATGAATTTCTGAGGACAGAATTTGGCTTATGGTACACAATCTAAATATCTCTACATAGAAGTGAAATAATTAATTCTGATTAGTCTATTCTATTCAGAGCATTATATACATACAATGTGTGTGTGTGTGTGTGTGTGTGTGTGTGTGTGTGTGTATAGACACACACACTCACACAGGTTGAACCTCTCTAGTCCGGCATCCTCTGGTCTGGCAACATCTGTGGTCCAGCATGATTTTAATTAGCCAGATGTTCATTTATCATGGGTGTGGCCAAGTTTTTTGTGGCTCTCAGTGTTCTATGCTGGTTTTTAGCTCTAATTTACCCCTAAATGTCTTCCAGAAGCCCAGTAAGCAGAGAAATCTTGGTAATGTTTCTAGAAAATATTGACTTTCTCTGGTTCAGTACCAGTCAGATCCCAAGGGTGCCAGACGAGAGAGGTTTAACCTGTATGTATAATATATGAATTAAAATGAATTGCCTACCTGCATCCTTCACATTATTTAAAAAGGATTACCATTTAAATATATTAACAGGCATTTTTGTGGTGGAGAATCAGAGATTATATTTTCAGAACAATATACAGAAAGATTAGCAGAAGTGTAGTTGATCATTTCAGTTAGTCACCATTTAGTGGGTTGGTTTGTAGTTTTTAATTATTAATCTTCAAATTGTAGAGGAAATATTTGAGTTCTACCTTTTTTATTGTTTTTGCTTGAAAATCCCTCTGGAATTGACACCAGCTATGAGTGAATAGTAAGTTGGTTGTAAACATGTACTAGTTTATGTATATGGGCACCACTACCTCTAATGGATGGAGTATATCAGACATATTCATTTTCTAGACTTTTGTAATGGACTTGTCTTTTAGTGGCTGGGGATTAGAAATGAGAACATACATGGAAATAGAACTCTGACCCAATAGAAAGTCCCTCTGCGGTCATGTGATGGATTGCTGCTTTTGGAGCATAACATCATCAGAGTGCTGTTATCTCTTCTTTTACCCAGTGTGTATTTGATATAAGCTGTAGCAAATCATCTCAAGTATGTAATTTAGACAAGATGGGTTCGTATGGTTCACTAGTGATCAACGAGAGGGAGGGCAGCATAATGTGATGCACAGAGCTTGCTCATTCCTTGAGGATGTGTCCACACAGCACCCTAAACTTGAAATAAGATGCACAATTTGCACTACGCAAATGGTGTATCTTATTTCAAATCTATTTTGAAATTTGAAATTTGGTGCATCTACACAGTGCCAAAATTTAAAATAATGCGCTATTTCGAGCCATCCCTTAACCCTCGTGCAACAAGGTTTACCAGGATAGTGAAATAGTGTCCCCGTTATTTTGAAATAATGGGAGGCTGTGTAGACGCAGGGTAGTTATAGCTGTGCAGTGTAGACATATCCCAAGTGAGCTGTGGAAATATGGCCCTAGCTTTTGGAAAGGGAAGTATATTCATAGCCAGATCCCTTGCTCAGTACTATCCCAGTGAAGGGTCACTTCAAACAAGATACTAAAGTGGAAGAAAGTTAAACATTTTACCCACTGATAGTAAGTTTTGAGTGTAAGTTTGTATGAATTGGGATAAAGGACATGTGGTTCTGATGTACCTGAATGTGGGGTATAGCTGTCTAAATGGTTCAGATATAGATTACAGATATAATCCCATTCATTTTACTGGGTTGCTGCATTAACGGAAATACACTGTGTGTTTTCATTCCCAAAACATAAGCATCAATTAGAACAGCATTCTAGGACAGACAAGCACTGCAGGAACAATACTGTGTATGCAGAATTGTTTCTCAATCTAAATCAGCACAGTTTCTCTCCTCATACAAAATTGTTCTAGATTATTTTGTCTTCTCAGAGTCTGGACTGCATCCCCATTATCTACTCATCTTCCTCACTTTTACTTCACCACCTAATTGCTGTTCACATTACAGATTCTTGTGGATTTGATGGGATAGTAAGGTGGAGTTTACATTTCTCTGTAATGGGTGTGTCTACACAGCAAAGTAATTTTGGAATAATAGACATTATTCCGACGTAACCATGTGAGCGTCTACACAGCAATTCCATTATTTCAAAATAATTTTGAAAAAACGGATGGCTTATTCCGAGTTCTGTAAACCTCATTCTACAGAGAATGATGCCTATTCTGAAATAGGAATTTTGAAATAAGGTGTGTGTAGATGCTCCACTTCTGACATTTTGAAATAGAATGGCCCTGGTGAGGGGCTAAATTATTTCTCCTGGGGCTCTAAATTGAGATAGCATGTCTACATTAGGGAACCCTGCCTCGGACTAATTTTGAGGCTTCCCAGCAGTGTAGAGTTGCTATTTCAAAATAAGCTATTTTGGACTAACTATTCCAGAATAGCTTATTCTGAAATAACTGCAGTGTAGACATAACCTATGAGAGTTATTTTGGAGCATTTTTTCCCTTGCATTTTTTTTTACTCCAAAAGGATTAGATCCCATGATTTTTATTTTCTGAGATGTATATATGTCTACAGTCATAGATGAGTACTTAAAAAATACAGATCAATACATGGTGCTATGTTTTTAAAGTAATACTCTTTTTTGCATGACCAATTTTCTATCTTCTTCAAAAAAAACCCACCACCAACAAAAAAAACAAAAACACCTCTAATGTCTGATGTTTGGGATTTGCCCTGTGGGTAGGTTCTTGTTATACTTCTATAAAACCTGAGCTGAGTCAAATACTGCTTTCCAAGTTTCAAGCACACAACAATATATCAAATACTCGATATAGATACAGGCTGGTAAAACGCACTAATGGATTGCCAGATGTTGTTCTCTTAGAATACAATATTAGAAGTTAATTGCTTGTTACCATAAAAAACATGAGCATTTTTAAATGTTTTATCATTTTATTGTTGTTTATTACTTGTACTATCATAGCACTGGGAGCCCTGGACAAAAGCCACTATGCTTGGAGGGCTCGTCTACATTGGCCCCTTTTCCGGAAGGGGCATGTTAATTTCACGAGTCGTAATAGGGAAATCCGCGGGGGATTTTCCGGAGGATCTTTTCCGGAGGATCGGGGCCAGTGTAGACGCTCTTTTCCGGCTTTTCTAAAAGCCGGAAAAAAGCGGCGGACATTTTTATTTAAATGCCACGGGGGATATTTAAATCCCCCGCGGATTTCCCTATTACGACTCGTGAAATTAACATGCCCCTTCCGGAAAAGGGGCCAATGTAGACGTAGCCTCGGAGTGTCTGACCCCAGAAAGAAAAAAGATCCCTGCTTCAAAGCGCTTACAGTTTTGTATAGTCTTCAGGTATCTGTAACAGAAAGTGTTTAGGTTGATATCCTATTGTCACTAATTTTTGAAGTTCACTCTCTAAATACTTCAGAGAGAGGCACAGGATTCTTTCTGAGCATTTGCTTACTGCATCTCATCCCATGGGTGGCTGTTTCCTGCAAAGTTTGGTAAAAGTCAGAATAGAAGTTTTATTCTTGTATTCTAATGCTGTGATGATTTGAAGATTTTACCTGACACTTACTTCTGAAGACTTTTCTATGTTGGCTTACAATACCTATGAATGATTTGGTTTCATTTGATTTTTAGCCTTGCTGAAGAGAAAAAACTTGCATTTTGCTGAAGAGTGATAAGGAAAATAAAAAAAAAAGATTTAAACAGCTTGTGATATTTCACACTGATGTACGATATGTGGACTCAGTAAAGCATGATTATAAAATAAAGCCAATGGGTAGGTAAGTCCCCGAAGGGAAGAGAAGATCTGGCCCAAATCAGCCATACTATACTAACAAGTTTGGACAGGAAGAAGGAATTGTGAAACTGGAAGGCCTGTAGAATACCAAAGGGAGTTTTTAAGGACCTGTGCTTTCTCCATCTTGTCATTGCCAATATAGGTCCATTTCTCTTAAAGCTGGAGAACAGTATTTTTGTAATGTTAGAAGAAAAAAAATCACGTTTCAAAATTCTGAAAAATTAGTAAGAAGAAAAATTTAAGTTTTCCAAAATTTCCTCTTCATACACACAATTTTGGACCAACTACAGAGCTAGTTAAAATGTTTCAAATTTAAAAAGGAAAACAAATAAATAAAATTCTTAATTTTTATCGCCTTTTGTTGACCATCTGAAATCTGTCTCCTTTAATTCCTAAAGCTAGACCCATTTATATGATTTTAGATCAAGATTCCTCTTTGGTATTACTGTGGATTTATTCCATTGTTACTACACTGTCAATCTGTTTTTATTTCATTGGTTCTGATTAAGTTAATTATGTGCACAGAAAAAGATCCCCTTCATTGCATGGAAATATGTCACTGATACTTTTCGATACATAAGCCTTTATGATAATGTCAATTATTAAATAATAATGTCCATAGGCCCCATTTCTAGATGCTGGTCAGACACAGATAAATTCCTCATCTGTATGTGCATGTCTTTTCTCTTACAGCATAGGTGGAGAAGTCGGAAGAGGAAATGAAGGAAGCTATGTGGGCAAACATTTCCGCATGGGATTTATGACAATGCCTGCTCCTCAGGACAGACTGCCGCATCCTTGCTCTAGTGGCTTTGCTGTGAGATCCCAGTCTCTTCATTCTGTTGGGGGTACCGATGATGAAAGCAGTAGCTGCTCTCGTAAACAACCTCCACCAAAACCTAAGCGAGATCCCAACACCAAACTGAGCACCTCCTCTGAAACGGTCAACTCTGGAACAAGTAAGAGTGGGAAACTACCAGAGAGAACTGAAGGTAAACTATACAATTATTTGGAACATGGTGTTAGAGAGAGATCCAATGTTATAGTCACCCCAGTAACAATGTTCTCCTGAAATACTCCAAACCTGTTGCCTGTAGTTTATATAACCATGCTAGTGCCATTTTCTTAGACAAAGTTACATAAGAAGAGTACTTAAAAAAGTAACGATCTCCCTCTGGGTTCGTCTATACTGCACACTTGTTTCAGAATAAGCTATTCTAGAAGACATATTCCAAAATAGCTTATTTCAAAATAATGCATCTACACTAAAGGGAAGCCTAGAAATTAGTCCGAGGCAGGTTCCCCTAATGTGGATGCTCTACCTTAATTTAGAACCCCAGGAAGCACTAGGGAGTAATTACTTTGAATGGCACTGGGGAGGAGCTATTTTGAAATATCAGCAGTGGAGCATTCACAGCATTCGGAACAGGTATTATTCCTTGTGGAATGAGGTTTACAGATATCGAAATAAGCCATCTGTTATTTCAAATGTCCGTTATTCCAAAATAATGCTGCTATGTAGATGCACCCTCTCAGAATGATAGTAGTACAATAGCTCCAGAGAGGGTATATATTCCTGACAGGCAATATTGGCTTTGTAAGGAATGCTAAAACATCCAGTATTAGATTAGGTAACTTAGGGGGATTTGTGCACTTCCTTTGTTCTTCCCTCTTAAGGGCAAAATTGTACCTGATTTCTTCACCCAGTCCCTCTGCAGAAACAGTGAAAAGGAGGCAGTGTATGAGAACTTTCTTCACCATAAACCTTTCAGGAGAGGGCAACGTATTAGGATCTTTCCTTCCTCCCCTGCATGCTAGAATTGTCTTTAGTGGAGCAGGAGACATTCATCTGGTTCTGCTTCTGAGTGTCAGATGTAAGGGGAGCCTTTAGGGTCAGAATGGCTCAGAGATTATTTTTGGTCATTGCTGGTTCTACTCTCACTCCCCACATTACCTATCAGTTGGGACACATGGTGTGGTTATTGCTTTCCACATGTGTGCCCATTGGTGCTGTGTTGTGATTAGAAATTCTTCAATCATATTTTTAAAAGGCAATAAAAAAAATCTCAAAATTCCTAGTTCAACTGGCTATTTATAGAGAGGTTGAATTGGATCATAAATTTATACCTCAACGTATGTTGGTAAAAAAGTCTGCAAATGGAATTGATCATGCATATATCAATGTGTCACTATGACCACAAATCCAGATCCAGCCTCTAATACTCCAAACCCAAGCTTTAAACTGTTGCTATTTAAAAACTAAGCTGTTTGTCATAATTTGCCTTCATTTCCTCCAGAATATATCCCCACAATATTTCACTGGCTCAAAACCACAAGAGACAATAGTCAGTCTCATATTGCTGACAGGTTTGATATCAAGTGACCTTTGTGCTAATAGGAGATTCAACTATGGAAAATTATGAAACAATGCTATTGTTTTCTATAAATAAATACTGGATTTTTGCACATGTGTTTGAACAAAAGTGTTTCAAATATTCTTTTATGGTACTTGCAATAACTGCAACTCTGGTGTGTATGAACTGGCCCACTGGCTAATTTGGAAGAAAATTATTTTAACTTCCCAGGCAACCATTAGAGAGATTCGTCAGCATCATTTTTAATATAATGTGTGTTTTCTTTTTTACTGTGTTCTATAATGATACATTTTGAAAAAAATAATAGCGGTTCTGTCTTGTGACTTTATCTTCCTCTGCCTGATTCTGGTGAAGTCAAAATATTGATTCTATCACATCACAATAATTTCCATAGCAATAGATGTTTTAAATATGACTCTGAGAGTAGGTAGGAGAAACTTGACTGGAAGATAGCAAGTACTTCGTTTTTAAAACCATAAATAGCATCAGAAACGGAGAGGTAGTGGCTCCATAAATAGCATTTTGTAGGAGGGTGCTTATTTCCAAATTTGCTATAGTGTGAAAGTCTTTTTAACTTGTGCTGACATTCATTAGCCTAACCTCATTATACAAAAATGTGATAATGCTTCAGTTTGTGTTTCATCGCAGCATATGAAAGAGCAATTTGTAAGAGAAAGAAATGCCTGTAATCTCTCTCTAATTTGATTGGTATATTTCTGTATCTCTGTGTACATGATCAGGTTATATTATTTGTTCTTCTCTTCCCACCCCCTTGCCACCTAATTAATTAAAGGACCTTCATTAGGTGACATTTGTTCCCCCTGTTTGGCTCTATAAGACCGGGTTTTTACAGAATCTATGTCTGTCTTTCTATTGAGTTGAAACTTCCAGTAGAAACACAGCTTTTTAAAACCCCTGTTTGCAACCCATATAATATACCATTGCCCTAGAGCAGCGATCCCTAACCTTTTGGGGCTGCCGGGCACCCCGGGGGTGGGGCCGCTCACACACCGGGCACCCGGGGGCAGGGCCACACATGCGCCCGGGGGCGTGGCTGCACACGCACCTGAGGGCCGGGCCACCCATACACTGCGTGCCTGGAGCTGGTGCCACCCATGTGCCGCACTCCTGGGGCTGGTGCCACAACTGTGCGGCACGCCCAGAGTTGGAGCCGCACATACGCAGCGCTCCCGGGGCCGGAACAGCCCATGTCTCGTGCACCCAGGGGCGGGACCGCCGCTGCCCATGCACTGCGTGCCCGGTGCCGGCGCCTGTGCCATGCACCCAGGAGCCAGCAGTGCCCATGCGCCACGCTCCCAGTGGTGGGGCTGCCCATGTGCTGCGTGCCTGGGGCCGGCGCTGCTCCTATGCTGCATACCCGGGGCCGGCACAGACCTCGAACTGTGCACCCAGGGGTGGGGCCGCCTAACCGCCACGCGCCCAGGGCCGGCACCAACCATGTGCTGTGCACCCGGGGTCAGCGCCGCCCATGCACCCAGGGGCTGGCACCGCCCATGCACCACACGCCTAGGGGCGGGGCCGGCCCCGATCACTCAGTGGGCACACAGAAATGGCCCGGGGGGTGCCATGGTGCCCGCGGGGACCACACTGGGGACTACTGCAGAGCATGGCAACCTGAAAGAGATTTTAGAAAGCACTTCAATGTGGGGACCTTATTTTGCTGTTTGTCTTGTATGCCACATAACAAATATAAGGAGATGTGAAACTGACTGGCATATTTTCACTTCTCAGGCTTAATGAAATACAGGAGGGAACAGAATAAACAGTGATGCCCCCCTTTCTTTTTTTCTGTGTTTGTTCATGGGTGGAGTTCCTTGGTGCCGTTGCAGTGCAAAAAATGAAATCATAAAAACAGTGAAAAGCAAATTAGATCTTAAAGGTTGATTTTGTTTTAAGCTTTTGAAGTGTTGCTAGTAAAGAGGCTGAGGAATACACAAGAGACCTTTAAAAAATCAATCTCTGAAGATGTGATTTTCAAAAATGCTGAGGCATCTACCCTGCAGCTCTGTAATTCTGTCTGATATAGGGTGACCATATTTCCATATACTGGATAAGGGACATTTTGGTAAAATAATTCATGTTCAAGTGAGTCCAATGGCAATAACTCAGAAGTGTGCAGTGCAAACATTCAAATTAACATGAAGCTGACTGAGGGTACGGCTAGACTGTGTGTGTTGGTTGGGAGGGGGGTATATCGGGATACTGGAGGCATCCTGAAAAAACTCTGCTGTGTCCAGGGAACGTGTTTGCTCTTCCCCTTTTTTTTGCAGAAGAGCAAAAACGCTCTTTTGGAAGCCCCTGTATTCCTCGTTCCACGAGGAAGAAGGGAGCTTTCGAAAGAGGGTTTTTTTTTCAAAATTTGGCCCAGTCGAGATGGAGCGCATTTTGCGTATCTTTTTCCAATAGATCCTCGCAGTCTACACGTACCCTGAATCTGTGTTTAAAAAGCAATATTGCATAGCTGGATTCTTTCTGTTGACCTTCTTATGTTAAAGCAGGGGTTCCCAAACTTTTTGACACGGGGACCAGTAAATCCATTCATGAGCTAAGTTTTATTATAATTAGGTGGATCAGTCCTTAGGTAGGAACTGCCTGCCTGGTAGATGTGCTCACGCTGCCTGAGTGTGTCTACCAGCCAGGCAGTTTGCAATGACTCGAGGGAGGGTATGTGCGGGGGAGAGGAGGGGAACACAAAATGGAATCCCCGGCCAGACTCACTCATCTGCCAGGGTCTGCAGGGTCTGCATGTGCCCGGGTCAGTCCCGCTCCCCCCCCCTTCTCCCGATCTCCCAGGGTATGTCTACACTACCACCCTAGTTCGAACTAGGGTGGATAATGTAGTCATACAAACTTGCAAATGAAGCCCGGGATTTGAATTTCCCGGGCTTCATTTGCATGTTGCCAGGTGCCGCCATTTTAAAATTTCCGCTAGTGCGGACTCCGTGCCCGCGGCTACACATGGCACGAACTAGATAGTTCGGACTAGGATTCCTATTCCAAACTATCTGTATGCCTCATTCCACGAAGCCTAGTCCGAACTATCTAGTTCGTGCCGCGTGTAGCTGCGGGCACGGAGTCTGCACTAGCGGACATTTAAAAATGGAAATTCAAATCCCGGGCTTCATTTGCAAGTTCGTATGACTACATTAACCACCCTAGTTCGAACTAGCGTGGTAGTGTA